GGACAATTTGCCAAGTGACTACATGCATGCATGCATGCATGAATTAATGAATGAATGAACGGAGAAGGGATAAAGCTCAGATTGTTCCCTGGGATTATCTGGAACTGTTAGCAAATAGTGTTTTAATTGCACATACAGATCTTTCTGAACACATAAATAATTTATAACATACCTAAAAATTATAATAGAACATTGTATGCAAAAATACATTGTATGCGAAAATGTCTATTTTTACCATGTCATTAGTTAAAATGGAAAAGTAATGAATTTTTACATATTTTCCCATAAGTCATGGAAGGACAGGATGATAAAATTTTCTGTCCGTGCCTCCAAGGTTAGATTGTAAATATCCATTCAGATGTAACATCACAGGTTTACTTTCTAGTTGGGATTGCGTGTCTTTAATTTTACTCCAAATTGTACACATAGAATGTACATAAATAGATATTTCGCAACTCCAGCATAATTCCTACTGACACAGAGGAGCTAAGTTAGAGTAAGCTGTATAAAAAATACTTGCAATTTTCAAATGTAGAAATGACAGTTTGCAGTCATAGACTGTGAGTTGCAACTCGGACTGAACAGTAAGAAAGGATGCAGCTAAGAGCCAATCTGAGAAAGCCTGTTGAGAACTACAGGCTAAATTGGTATTATAGATTGATGGCAATCTCCATAACATTACCAAGAGTGCTCTGCACTGGGATTGAGGTTTTGTGTATTGATTTTCTCACAAGCAAAATCCCCTCACACTGTCAAAAGAAACATATCTTGGCTGAGATAGATTTTTAAAAATTCCCCTTACACTTTGGACATATTAATCTGGAACAAATTCATCATGAGTATTTAGTTTGATAGCTGGCTGGGATTTTGTGTTTAGTACCTTGTTTTCTACTATAATTTTGTACACGTTCTGAAAATTCTATAAATAAACAGAAATGTGAAACAATATATGCAGAAAATGAGTGAGAGCTTCAAAGTGAGATAATACAAAAAACCTAGGTTAAACCTGAAATAACACCTCTTGCTCAAATAGTATATTTTAAAGCTGGACCTAAGTTTGAATTAAATTAATAATCCACTGAATGTTTTGTATATTTGCCTACTATATTATCTTTTCCACTCTGCATCACCATATCCAGTATACCAATTCCTGATTTAAAAATTAACTTTTATATAGGCAGTCCTAGTATTATGAACAGGTACCATTCATTAGTCTGTCTTTAAATCAAATTTGTATGTGAATGGAGCAATTAGGTATGGTACTTATCTACCACCAGTTAGTCAACTGTATGACTTAATAAATGGTGTATACCATACCTTTTTTCTATGGATAAAAATAGAAAAGAAACCTTTCTAAATGCACTAAAACATCTTTCAACATAATAACATTAGACTAATAAGAATGTATTGATGTGCATCACAGAGTAGCACCTATTTTTGTGTTATGGACCATGTATGTACCTCGAATTGTAAATCTAACAGACTTTATGGGGGTTGGTTGGTAACTATGGGTTGATTGAAGTTCAACTTTCATGACCTGGGGACTGTCTTCAATTGAGATTTAATAAAATGAAGATGAATTAAAAGGAAAGCTTTGTTTTGTTAGTAAATCCTAAGCCTCAACCCACACTGAGTGAAGAAAAACCAGCCAAATTTGAATTTGAGATGACACAGACCCATCTATATTTAGGCTCAGCCCTGAGGCTACCTTGTGAAAATTCTTTTAAAAAAAAGTTTCCTTCAGTAAGATGAGGCCTAACAAGGTCAGCTCTTGAGCATTTGTAACAGAAAGGATCCTTGTTGCTAATTGTCGTCAAAATGATTCCAACGCAGGCGCAGCCCAGGAGTGGCGAGGAGGATTGCTGCACAAGGTTTTCAAGATGGGCTTTTCAGAAGCAGATCACCAGACCTGTCTTCTGAGGCGCCTCTAGGTGGGTTTGAACCACCAACCTCTTGTCACTAGGGACTCCTGTGAATGGACAACTTAAAATAGTCATTTAAGAATATTTCATGCTTTGCTGTTAGGTGCAATGGAGTCTGCTCCAAATGGCTAGTGATTAAAATATTCTAAACATGTAATATTCTTAAGTGGTCCTTTTATTTTCAGATGAACACGCATGATCTCTTCTTGTGGTGGGCTTATCGAGGCTAGGATTTCAGGTGGGGCATTTGCTCCCTGAGGGCCAATGATGAGGGGAAGCGTTCTTGGGAACACCAAAGAATATAAAGCTGGCTCAGGACTAAGAATGGGCTGTGATTAATCCCACAAACCAAAAGCCATTGGAAGACAATAGTGGCAAAAATCTCAGGATGCTGCGATGGTCTTCTGGGCATGAAAAACATGTCCACCTAATTTTGTTTAGGATTAATTTTTTCTTTCACAACAAAACCAGATTGTGCAAAAATGCTAAAGTGATCTTTTATGCTTTTAAGTTATTATGAAAACCTGCACCTAGATGGCAAGACTCTGGCACAAGACCAGCCAACGGCACGTTACCTTGGATACCAGGCTGGCTCTGTACGCTGCTAGTTGCTTCAGGTACTCCTTCTTTGCAGCCTCGGTTTTCTTTTTATAGACCTGTAACAGCAACAAAGAGTCTTAAATTAGAAAGTGCACCTGCTTTTGTTTTTAGAGAGGTGCAATGCAGAATGGTAATTATACACACACAGCTTCTGAAAGATTCTATTTTTTTAAGTCCAGTGGAAATGATCATTCTACGAAACAGCTTTATAAGAAGTATGCCAATAGACTAGATAGGATGAATAGACAAATTTCACATTTTACAGAAAGCATATGAGAAAATTTATATTTGAGGTAATTTGAGAGGGAAGGTAGTGGGCAGAGAGAGAGAGCATTGAGGAAGGTTTCCAGGGGATCTACATACGAATAAAGAAGAAATTCCTAAGTGTATAATTAACTGTCTTCAAATTCAGCTCTATGGGTTCCAGGTCTTGCCATAAAAAACAAGGCTAGCAATAAAAGGAGAGAAATGATGTTCGATAAACAAACCATCAGGACTGCCATGGGGTTTGCAGGCTCATCACTTAAAAAAAATACCGAACTGTGAAGTCCCATGGGAAGTACGTTGGTTGAGTCTGGCACATCGTGAGCCTGCTCTGATGTTGTCGTCACCGGCACGTGGGTGACATGCATCTGTGAACACCTCAGTTTGAAGAAGTAAATCTGCCCCCCAAAGAATTTCAGTTCACAGGAGGTTTCATGTTTACAAGAGAATGACTTTGAAAATAATGTAAACTGATCCTAAATTGTGCAAAAGTACCGAGAAATGACCTAAGTACTGAGAAATGACCTGAGAATGTGAAATTAGACAATAGCGGATCATGGTAGTCATGAATGAAAGGTTAGCAAAATGATCACACAGCGTCATCGGCCTCCATTTGGTTTCTTCTTCCAAGGTTTAGGGGCACATTTTTCGTAGCGTTTTGAAAAAAACCAAAACCAAACAACCAAAAAAACTCCCCCCAAATCTTAATATTCTCAACCATTTCCTGGTTAAATCTCAATATAGTTTCACTCATATAACTATTCAGAAATTCCCACATCTTAAGTTCTACAGCAGGGAGGGAGTGTTGGCCAAGAGTTCGTAGTTTGTAGCTCCAGAAAAGCAGACACAGATCAGTATTGAAAAGTGGCTTTAGCGTTAGTCAGGGAAGTTAAATATAAACTATGTTTAAAGACCAAATATCTGTCCAAGGTGGTAGCAGAGGCCAATTTATGGCTTCTAAAATGTTGATGGTGGTTTTGCTGAGCCCAGAACATTCATATGAAATACAAGATGTAAAAATTATTGAGTCATAAATATTTTAATTAAAGGAGACCATTTCACTTAAAGTAAACAAATGGCTAACCTTGTCAACACAATTATAAGAACTCTATGAAATGAATGTGCTAATTATTCTGAAAAGTCAGAATCAACTCAACAGTAACAAGTTGTATTTTGTTGTTGTTTGGGTTTTTAGTCTAGACTCATAGTTGGAATTTTGGCATAATAAAAGTCAATTAAGTAAGGCAATTAAAAATGTCTCCAATATTATCATATAATCATTGTGCCACCTTACTAAATAGGACATAACAAATAGTGTCTTGGGTCTTAAAGGCTTGTTTCCGAACAAGCAGCTCTGTAAGTGAGATATCAAGTAAGTCCACTTGGAAGAAGCACATTAACATTCATGACCCAAGGCTTGTAAATTATATAATCCAAGGAGTGAATGGTATCACAGCGTTAACTATGAGATTCTGGTTGCAGAAGGCTATGGATGACAGTGGAAGCTCAAGATACATTTGAGAGATCTCTTCAAGAAACAAGCCTCCAGTGACTTCGCTCTATCCATAACTGAGCGATGGGAATAAACTGGTTACCAAACAGTAGTGGAGAGATAATGATAGGAGATAATAAACTTGACTTGAATGATGAAAACCTTGTCATTTCATCCTTCTTACAGAAGAGTCACAAGAAAGAGATGAGACAGTCAGAGTGCAGTATAGCACTGATGAAACATACAACTTTCCTCTAGTTCTTTAATGCTTCCTCTCCCCCACTATCATGACCCAAATCTACCTTACAAATCCAGCTAGACCAGAGCATGTACACTGGTATAGATCAGAGCTGGAAACACAGGGAATCCAGGACAGATAAAGTCCTCCGGACCAATAGTGAGAGTAGCGAAACCAGGAGGGGAAGTGGAAGGTGGGGAGAGAAGGGAGGACCCAATTACAATGATCGACATATAGCCCCCTCCCAGGGGGACGGACAACAGAAAAATGGGTGAAGTGAGACAGTGGTCAGTGTAAGACATGAAAAAAAAAAGATTAATGATCAAGGTTTCATAGGGAGGGAGGGTGGGGGACGGGGAAATGAACTGAAACCAAGGGGTCAAGTAGAAAGAAAATGTTTTGAAAATGATGATGGCAACCTATGTACAAATGTGCTTGACACAATGGATGGATGGATGGATTATAATGAGAGCTGTATGAGCCCCAGTAAAGTGATTTTGAAGAATGATGGTAATATGTGTATAAATGTGCTTGATACAATTGATGTATGGGTTGCTATAAGAGCCCCAATAAAATGATCTTTAAAAAAAAATTGAAACAAAGGGAAAAAAAAAAACCTTGTCACTCGATCCCCCCTCTGATACACTTTGGGCATGATCTGGTTTTCAATATCTTTCCGTGTGAGTGTGTGCGCGCGCGTGCACAAGCACGCGCACGTGTGTTTCATACTGGCATTTATCTCTGATGTATTTTGTCACTGTTGGTAGCCCTTTTGAATTTTTGGTATATGTTTTTCTGTTTGGGGATATAGGAAACCCAGGATTGATGACCCTATAGAGATAAGTAGAATAAGGGTTCCTGAGGGGTATGGTTTGGGAGGGGAGTAGGAAAAGGGGAACTGATATCAAGGAGTTCAAGAAGGAAAAAAAATTTTGGAAACTGATGGTGGTAGCAGTTGTACAAATACTGCTTGATGTGACTGATTTATGGAATGGTGTGCTATCTGTATTAGTTCCCAATAAAATGGGTTTGAAAGAAAAAATCCAAGTATAACTTATAGTTGACTCTTGAACTGCACTCTTTACTCTACATAGGCTCACCTAAACATGGATTCCACATCCCCTCCAGTCCCCCTGACCCCCTGCCCTGGCTGGGCTCTTTAGTGAGCTCAAGTGTTGTCAGTATTTACTTAAAATGCTGGGTATACTCATAACATCCAAGTGAGCAGTTCCTCTCTGCAGAAACTGTAGCCCCCGTCTTCCATTTCCTCTAAGTCAAGAGGAAAACTTCTCATGTGGAGATGATTAGCAAAGTGGTTCAAATCCAGTGGCATTTTAAGTGCATCGTGTCAACATGAGTGTACTGTAATAGCTGCAGGGAAACATGCCACATGCAGTTCAAACTTTGGCAGGTCCATAGTATCAGAGAGTATCACAAAGTGGGTGGAAATGGAATGAAAAGATAATACAAATCTTCATGAAAGTTTTGAATACGCCTCATCTAGGCCTCGATTCAGCCACAGTCAGAAATGCAGTTTCTCCTGCCTTCTATTGATTTTGCTCCTGAGAGACGCATTTCTATACATAGATTTTACTTAAGGTTCTTTCTGTAAGGGATACTTTATAACTGTCCTGAACTGACAATGTTTACATTTACTGTTAATGCCTCAAAATGGCGTCAAGAGGGTTTCCCGCCCATACAGAGAGACATCCTAGTTATGACTTTGAAGCTATAAATCTATCTTGGATGGGCATATGTATTTGTATAATTTAAGCATTCCTATCATGTTATTATTAACATACCACTTCAAGTGATCTCTATTCAGCTAACTAGGGTTTATTTAGCTTCCAGAGGCATGTGTGTGTGTGTATCATAACAACAAGCATAACATAATACACCTTTTCTAGGTAGGAAGAGGAAGAGACAGCATTACTACACCTCCTGATATAGCACCCATCTTCTTTCATTTCATTTCTACTGAAGCAGCTAGTGTGCTATGAGCCTGGTAGTTAACATAACAAAAAGGAATAGTTTTGGTGTAATTTGTTGATTAACACGCACAGGAGAAATCCAATGAAACAAATGTAATGCATTTCAGGCAGAATCATTGTCCCCTGCTTTAACTCTGAAATCACTGGTTGTTCGAAGATCCCAGACTAAATCTAGTTCCTTGTTGGCTATGTGGAAGAAGTGTTCTCTAGTTCACTTCTCTGGATTCTAATAACCATGGAAATGGCTACATACAACTTGGAGTCAAAATTCTCACTTAAAGGGTTTATTAAGGAAGTTAACAAGTTGTAATGCCCAGTGAGAAATGCTCAGGCTTGAGTTGTTTATCAGGACATGTTACAAAGTTCCATCCATTTGCTAATAAATGCCCAAAGGCCATACCTTCTGTTGTAAGCCTCAACCCAAAGGCATTCAACTCAAGCTTCATAGGTCAGTAAACCCACCCACTCCAATTAAATGCCCCGAAGCACCCACTCCGAAAGTCATCCTTCTACACAAAAGCACTCAGTGTCCCCTGCTCCCTGAGGTTAGCCAGTCCGTCGCTCTGCTCCATGCGTTTGCTCCTGGGTCTGCTGATGCTGCTCCTCTGATGCCGTGGTTGCCATCGGGATCCATGAGGTTCAGGCACAGCCATCTCAGGTCCAGAGGGTGCGTTCTATTCCTCGCTCTTGCTGGTTCTAAGATCCCTCCTCCTGATTCTCACAGGGTTCATTTTATACACAGCAGGCTGGCCCGTAAGGATATCCTATTAGACATTACTCACAGGTGAGTCGATCAGTATCTCCCTCCATCTTCTTACCAGATCCATGCAGACAAAGGGCATTTGGTGGGAGTTAGAGACTTTAGGAGAGCTATGTTAAATAATTCATTGCCCCTGCACATCAGTGCCTAAATAATACTTTGGAAATGGGTAAATTCATCATGTCACGTTACACGGAGCAATGAATCTACTCTTTTATGAATAGACGATATTCTGAGGGAGTACTTAATAAGCTTCATGAGGTTTGTTAACTGCATTTGAATTTAAAGGCAAGTAGCCTAGATCAGAATTA